TCAGCGGGAGTCGAACCGTGAGAGTGCAGAATGGCAGCTTGACACCACTCGACCGCATTGCCACAAATGCTCTTGGGTCACAGGGCAGATGTGAATTTCAAGCAGGCCCAGGCATTTTGCCATATCATATTCTTTGGTGGGAGTGTCGATGAAGCAAATGTATATTTGCTATAACACTAGACTAGGTAGCTTATTTTTCGTGTGTGAGTGGAGTTTTGAGACTACCAGTAAATCAGTAATATGAGATATATTCACTCTATTTAATTTAAGGTGATGTGAAATTCATTGGAAATGTCAGCTCTACTTATATCATTGTGGGTAAATTCTACTACCAGTTCTTCATCAGCTTAAACGAAATAGTGTGAATACATCTCATATTACTGATTTACTGGCAGTCTCGAAACTCTATTCAAACACGACGAATTAAGGTTTCCTACTTGACAGTCTAACATATTAAGTACTGTGAGCAACGTAATCGAATGTAATGGCAAATACATGCTTGGCTCAAACAATTCCACCATAAATGTGATATAGAAGAGAATCATACTGCCTCGAAATTAACTTACGCACTGCGATCCACTGGAATTCGTAGCTGTATGGCGTATAATTAACATGTAGCCACTTTACATGCAAAGCTGGTACGATTTCTGTACCAGACCCAGGAGAGATATTTAGTACAGTTCACTGTGAATGCAAGGCAAGGCGAAGTAAACTTCATTGGCATACTCATCGTATTGTAGGAAAGTTCAAGTACCAGTTCAGCATAATTTTATGTGAACAATGGTGCTCATAGTTCTTATTTAGTATAAACAGGTTTGCCAAACTTCTTCAAAGTATACACAATCTGAAGAGTATACTTTTTAATGAAATGTTTGGGTTCTTTTTAGAATTAATTTCTTCCAATCGTGTGCTATCGGTAGGGAAATATATAAAGTTATTCCTGTCAAACTTGAGTAAGTTGGCATTCTTAAAATAGATTTTTCTTTGCTTTAAAGACAAATAGCGATCGAGAAGCATGTCAATTTTTCTTTTCATAAGACTTCACTTCATACTCGCTCTGCAAAATAGATTGTATCGAAACCTTTGCGATATTTTAATTATGAAATAATTAAATATTAAATGTTTGATTAATTTAAGAAACATCAATTAATACAGGCAAAATAAGCTTATTAAGCAACCTAAAAATTAAGCACTGTCTTCAATATAGATACAAATTTTATCTAAATTAATTTGCCCCCAATTGTACTGCTCATATGAGTATTCCAATAGATCATGCATAATACATATTATGTAACGTTTTAGCATCAATAATCGAAGCTATAACATGAAACTATGCAATATACTTGGATTTATCCATCATTTTTGCAGCCTCTACTAATGCCATTAAGTGCATACTTTGCGCAGATAAAGCATCGTGCAAGTGGTCATCAGTAGCCAAAATTCATGGCATTAAATTACCGACTGGATATAGATTGCAATCCTATCTAAAGATTAAGCCTTTTGCGACCGCATTAGAGTAGTTGAAGGGTAAAAGATTTAACAAATCTCAGTTGAAAACGGAAGCCATTAATTTTTTACCGGCTAAACTTATTATAATATTCGTCAGAGTTTCATGTATGTAGTGGCATGAAGAAATTCTAAGGCGGGATAGCAATACAATTTAGCTTTGGCCTACCTGATGGAGTATACTCTTGTTCTTCTCATCCTTCATTCCAAGACCAACACTTGATGATCTGTCGCTGTGTCTATCAAGATCCGCATCCTTCCACTTATCTTCTGCAGAGCTCACCGCGTAACCCAAGTAACTATCACTGAATCTCTCTACATGTATAGGCTTCACACGGGGCCCAGGCATCAATAAGCCTATCGAATGACCTTTTTTGAAGCGATGTTGTAGCGGTTGATAATGCAGATGATTTGGATGCACATGAAGCCGAGGAAAGTGATGAGTTTCCATGGAATGTTCGTGTTGTTTATGAGTAGACATATTGACATGGTCGGTTTTGCTGCTTTGAACAGATTGACACCATTCTTCTCGAGTTGCATTTGCTTGAATATATCTCCCAGAACTTGCGCTATCTTCAAGGTACTGAATGCCGCGCTGCTCCTGGCTCTCTTTTGAAACATGTATTCTCTCTTTATCCTCTCCATCAGAGGCAACCTCCTGGCGGTTGGTGACATTTTTAGTCATCTGCTCACCGCTTCTACCTTGTACCGCTATTGAGGGTCCAAATAGCCTATTTCGAAATCGATTGCGTAAGAGAGTAAGTTGATTTTTCCTCGAGCATGTTCTACGTATTCTGGAAGGCTGAAAGTACTTTACAGAAGCTAATCGGGCTCCTATGGAAGGCCTACCAGCTGGTTTGAAAAATGTCATGGTGCTTGCTTCATGATAATATCTGCCTTTGATTGCTTTTTTTTTTTTAGTTTTCCCAGAAGTATCAGCAACACTCCTCAATTCAATCTCAACCTCTCTCTGTTTAGACGTCCAGAAAGACGGTTCCTGGCACGCTAGGTCAAAATATGTAGAAGATATACCCTCTGAGGTTTCCTGCTTGGCTTCCATGGCATCCGATGATCTTCGGAAAGATCGCCACACTGAGTTATCGGAAAGCAGATGACGTGGATGCCAGCTAGACCATTCGGATTCGGCAGAGCAGCAGCACTGTGAGAAGTGGGTAATCAGACTCCTTTGGCAATGGTGGGGATGTATGTGCATAAATTTTAAAATAGATATAGGCATTAAAACAGTAAATAGCATTTAGACAAATTTGTTTAATAAGATAGTATCACACGTTAGATTTTTCACAATATAGATTTTTTTTAATGCAGCTCATTCATGAGATTGCCAACATTCAAAGAAGCAATTCATAGATGTAACGCAGAACAATTATAAATTCAAGTCACATAGCCCATATTCCATACGCGATTTTGATGATAATACATTGACTTATCAAAAGGACAAACTCATCTTTTAATCCAGAGCTGCCAAAGACACAGATATTTATTAAAGTATATATTAATTAAACTAGTGTATAAGATCAAGATTAGAAAAAAATAACTTTTGGAATATATTCTAGCTAAAATAGGCTGAAATAAAAATACTTGAAGTGAAGAATCAAAAAAAGGCATCTACCCCATTTTAATTAAATTTAAGGGCTCTTGTAAGCAAATGAATAAGTTTGTCATTTTCCCTTATGCTAAATACTGTAGTATGTGTTCTAAGCGTTTCCATACAAAACTATTAAAACAAATGCTTTGGGTTATGTTATTGCAAGTTTATATAACACTTACACTTACGAAAATGATGCTGTTTTGCTAAGAAATCTTGATTATTTATTTCCTGCAAAAGAATGTGATAAACATTAATCAAACATTATTCATCAGTTGGCATTTAGCTTTGGTTACATCTGCATATAGCGTAATATGGGCAGGCTAGCTAAACTTACACTACCTTAAGGACGAAGGAAAGACATCAAGGAAAATCTAAATTTTAATGATCAAATCTATTATAAAGATTAGCTGATGCAATCTAATGGAAGTCATTAATTTGTCTGTTCAATAATTTTAGTGTTCTAAGCGCTAGGATACAATTTCTTCTACATATACTTTTCCATAATGCAAAGCCATATCCCAAAACAGTATTCGATGGTTTTAATAAAGATGGACAGATCAAGATTACACATAAGACGGATGTGCTTCTTCAAACACCTTTTAACTCTGCGTTTAAATGGCATAAATTGATGTAGAATTATTTTACAAATTTAAAGAAGCTATTTTATGCCACAATATGATAATTCCAATTTAAAATATCAAAATCAAGGAATATGATATCCCTATTATAAGTCGATAACACAATATTTAAAAATATTGGCCCCTTAAAAGGTAATAAGGGTATGGACAATAAAGTAATTTTTGTAGACTGTATGTAAGCTCTAAAATTAATAATAGCATTGTGTTGTGTCAAATATATTACAGGGCTGCTATTGTTCAAGAACACTGGGGTAAATAAAATGCTTAATTTTTTAACAAATTCCGTTATTATCGTCTAGTTTCAAACTCATTTCAGTTCTATCATGTCCACTGGAACTTTATGTCTAGCTTTTGTAGTAGACATATGACTCTAAATCTATAACATGAACTTCAAGCTAAAGCTAGCCATTTTTATTATTGAGAGTATTCTGATAGCTTAACTTAGAGGCCAACGAGTATCTCCCTCAAGAAGCTCATAGGCGGTTACAATTCCCCTGGTAGCATGGATAGGCTGATTATATGCAGCTCAACCTGCAGTCCAGTCTGGAATAAAAGGACCTTTTGAGGTTATTAGGAAGGTGAAATTTATCGAAAAAATTCGGAATAATCTTTAATTCATTATTGGCAGACTCGCTATTCCTTTAATAGGAAACCAGTTAAAACTGATGTAAATTGTCAAAAATGTGTACTACCTCTTGCATACATAAAATTCGAAAGGCTTCCTTCCTCTTTCTCTTATCCGTAGCTAAGCTAACTTTCTATCAATCTAGCCTTGTTAAGTTAATTCTTAACAGGCTTTGTATAATTCCATTAAAAGATCGAAAGTTAACCCAGCAAGTAAATTACCCAGTAAGAAGCATTTAATTTTTTTTCAAATTAGCCTTGATAATATTGTTATTAAACTTGTAACGAGTACCTTCAAAAATGTATCCTATACTGCACTGTGCCACTTTTCCTTGTCGAAATAAAGACCAGGTACACTTACATACGTCTAAACTAAATCTTGCTCGTCATTTTCAGTTAGAATGGTCGAACGTAACAGAAAAATAAAACTCGTCAAAGACGCAGTTAAGGTCACTAAGAAATTTCTTATTAAAGTTTATGACACTTTTCATGCATTCACTCACATTCCCTTATGCATCCTGTGTCATTTTTCCTCAATCTCATGCGATATCCTTGTGACCTGTCCTTAATCCTACTCAGCTTTATTTTATATTTCAAAATGAAAGTGTGCATGCAAATGATTAAGTATATTTAAACGATATTTCATCCTATATACGTAGAGAAACTGGGTTTCGATGAATCTCCTGAGATAACACTGTTGGGGGCACTTTCATTTCGTATGAAAATGCATGTAGAAGAGATTCGTAGGTAGATCTCATCAGAAGAGGACAGAGAGGATGCAGCCATACGGCTGTACTACAGCGGGATTCATCCGTCCTCTTCTTGTGAGATCGACCTACGAATTTCTTCTTCATGCACTTTCATACGAAACGAAAGCCCTCCCAGCGAAGATATTTCATCCACCCATCTATCTATCCAGTTAATTAATTTATTTGCCTGACTAGCCATTTTATCCCTTGGCTTCATTCGACATCTGTAGTTTTTCAATCATATTATATCCGTTGCTTAACCTATCAATCTGTTTTTCACTCACTCTTCTTATCCGATTGCCTAGCTCTTGTAAACCGGATTAAAAATAATCTTCCTGCTTGGTAGCCTTATGTTTAATCCGTGAAGATAGTCAATAAGGTTATATCCACTCCAATTTTTCCTATCCTTAATTTCCCTTGATCATGTCGGCCAAGGTTCATAATTAGGCTTTCGGATTTGTCATTTGGTCACCCACTTTCAGTGGTTCTCATCGTTTAAAATGATGAAGGACTGATAGTAGAATTTCTGCCTTGCCCTCCATGAAATTGACATCTGCTCTGTACCCAAAGACACTCGTGGCAATCTGGCCGAGTAACTAACGTGTCAAGCTCAACTGCAGCACTGTCATAGTACGATTCCCGCTGGAAGTGTTGATAATACTTATGCGAGGTGAAAACTGCAGTCCATCTTGTATGAAAACAACTTTTGGCAATGCAAGGCTATGTGAAATTGAATCGAAACGTCAGCTCCACTCATATCATTGTGGGAAAATTATACTACCAGTCCTTGATTACCTCAAAACGAAATAGGGTGAATACAAAGATCAAGTTGTTTCTCTCATCTTGCAGATTTTAGGATTTGTCCGTTCAGCTTAAACGTTATTGCCGACTTGCATATTAATACCCCTTATGAACTCTTCTCAATTAGATTTCTAGGAAATAGGAAGTCCACTGCTCTTCTGGGCTTATTTTGTCTTGGATTTTTATTATAAGCTATCTTTTGCAGATCTAAATAAGGAAAAATTCGTGCTATATGGAGCTCTTTAACTATACTTAAGAAGATGAATAATAATGATATAACATTAAGTCTATGAAAAATAATCTATGGATGGTTAAGAGGCATATGACAAGAAGTCGAGTAAAGAAGATAGGAAAAAATGGACAAACATTTGTACCAATGTAACAAAGAGGCACACAAAATTGCCCAGACTATGAGAATATCTCTCTACGAAAAGAAGAGTAAAAGGAAATTTTGTTTACAAAATATAATGAGGAAGTTGGTAGAAAATTCTCCAATTTTTTATTTAAATCAAAGGTACAAGTGGCTGACACGGGACGCTTGCAATCTGGGCAATAGGTTATTTCTTTATGATCCAAAAATGAAATTGATAAGCTTATGAATAAAGCCATGATCATGGATAAGTCCCTATAAGTAGGTTCCGAAGCTACCTATCGATCTTGAATAAGAGTTTGAGATACCAAGGTCACTTAAGTTGATATAGGAATAATGGTAATTTTTTTCCACACAGAGATGAATAAGTTTTAGGGAGCAATAAAAGTTCTCTTAATTCTGCTTCAGAAAAGTAGTATTATCAAGTACATACTAGACATTTGACCTCACCTGGGACTCAACCGCATCCCCAGCGTGAATCCAATGCGAGCAGTGCAGGAGATTATTTTGATATGGAAATTTTACTATCACTCTTTCATCCTCTTAAGCTAGACTGAATAAAGTTCCTATTATTGATAATCGACTGTAGAT